TGAGCATAGAGACAAATATTAATATACCACCGATGAAATCTCTAATTATTTTCATCTGTCTTCAATTTGATTCCGTTGACAGGCTAAGCTCTGAGTGCGTCCAATTAACCGTCATCCCGGGAAGCATTTACCTTGATGTTTTTGCTTATATACCGACTCGGCAGGGACTTAAACTGCGTATTGTTGGGGATACATCAGTAGTACATACTGTTTTTATCCCAGAAAGGAGTCAAATCACGAATCTTCCTTCGAGTCGAAATTCTTACCTCTGAGCTTCACGGCCAATAAAAGAAAGTGTTACTTTCTTTTTCCCCTGTATTGAATATGTGGACCACAAGTCGTTTAACTCCGGGGAAAGAACTTAGACTCTCAACTTGAAGGCTCAGGCTTTGAGTGTCGTCCATGACAAGAAACACTGTACAACCTGCGGATGAGTCTCAACGAGGGCAAAACAGATGGTTACGACCATTATTTTGATCATTAAAGACAAAATACCGTCACCGTTGTAATTCACTATCATGTGAAAAATCAACTAACTCTCACCGAGTGAGATACATACAATAGCACAGTAAACATATGAGGTCTATCAATTCACACGGTCGGTACGGGCAAAATGATGTTTTTTAAAACTGATTTTCTCTAGTAAATAGAAAAGTGTAGACAGTTTCAATATGATTGACTGATTAAATTGAAGATATTACCTGAAGATGAGGGGTTAATCAAAGTCGATGTATCATTATTCTCAAGTAATCATGATTCGAAGTACTGTCTTAAAAATATTAGCGCAAAGATCAAAGCACTTGTTGACTTCTGTGTGGGTATTAATCAGGATTCCAACTCCTCAACTCATACACGCAGTGAAAACGGCAAGGATTGACCTCACATCGAACTTTACCTGTGGAAGGTAAAACACGGAGCACAGTAATCTAACAAAGTGATTACACTATCATATTCGAAAGAGCACATTTAGAAATCACGTGCTCTATGGCAAATCAAATTTTAAAGAAATCTTTCTGTACGCCACGGCAAGTTGAAAACCTGACAAATTGACTGCCAAGGTTAATCACACACGGAATAGTAAATTCAGATGTAGTGTCACGAATGAATGACTCTATAAAAACTAAAGAAGTTGATGACATCACCCGGGGCGTTTGCGGTTCTGTGCGCTATCGTGTATCTGAAGCAACCATGTCACCTACTCGGATGTATGTTGCACCGGTACGGTCTTGATGTGTAAAATATAAATTCTAATTATCACTGCTGAATGCAACACATGGAGAGAGTTTATTGAGATATCCGAAACAGCGGCCATGTGGCTAAAGGGCGAGCATGATGTTACCCCAATGGCACACTGACTTGTTACAATTCCATGGTTGGAGGACGTATGCATGTCACCAGACATTCTTTCTAGTTGTGCATTAGTTACCGGGGTACATATGGGCTAGACAAAGACCAATGGCACTGAAATATGAACAAATTAAAAGCTTTCAGGCCAGTTATTGATTACTAGTAAGATCTCCGGGGTTCGGCCCTTAAGATCGGTCTAATCAATAGTTAGGAAATATGATGATATTATTATTTTCAAAGCTAGCCACTTGCAGTCAAATGAATCTAACTTAGACAACTCTGTACCCGACACAAATAAAGAATGCATTTAAATCAACTCTCCATCTCAGGGTTTTGATTTCGGACCTTTGGGTGCAATTGCAAATTCCACGACACAAAGTGTTATTTATATTGTTTGTAAACCTGGACATGTATCAAAAATACTCAACCATTGTGAACAAAACCGAAAGGCCACAAACGGATCACATGATAGATAATGCACAGACTGTTCCAGGTGTGCGTCTGCACATCACATCCTAATCAAACCTCCCCGTACTGAATGATCGTGACTAGTGGTAATTGAGTTAGCAAGCGGATGTGTTTCTCTGGTGTATACAAATTCGTGGCTATTGCCTTTTTAAACCGGACAATTTGCACGTAATGAAACCTCCCGTTTCGAAATGTGCATGTTCCCAGACAATGATGTGCACACGCGAACGAACGAACGAACAAACAAACCGATCGTACGAGCCAAGGATTCCAAACTTCATCAGATTGCGCTCCTGATTGCATCAGTCATACTGACCGTTTACATCTGAGACCGTTTTTGCTCGTAATGTGATCACCACGGTACAAACCGAGGAGGGTTATTTGTATTTGCAAACCAAACACCAAATAGTTGCATTTTGCATGCCTTTTTAAAGGTAAAACTGTTTTTTTTTGAGACAAATTAGAATAACTTTTAAAGCATTGAATTTCGATTTGTATTTGCATGGGTTTTTGTGTGAACAGGTGCCCGCATTTCAATCAGAATGTACCCATCATCTCATCGAAAGGAAAAAAAACAATACGAGTATAACATTGAACCTCCAAGATTGTTGAGAAATTTAGAAGAAACCCACTGCTAGTATGAAAGAATTCTAGTGAGATAGGGAACTGTAGAAATTCTGTAGTGGGTCAGTTCGAGAATGTATTAAAAGATATGTAGAATGTGTGGATGAATGAGAGCGGCATTTGAATAGACCACCATAAAAACGAAGTGTGGAGTCAGATGGGATTTTTTGTGCAAATGTTTCACAGGCGGGCAAGTGTAGTTCACACGGTTATTTAGATAAATCCTCAGCGGATATAAAAAGACATGCGACTGAAAATTGACAAACCGTGACGATGAATTTCGAAGTTTTCCTTGAGTAGTCCGGCAAAAACAGTCTGTTTGGTGTTGAACTGCCCAAAACTTCAAGGTGAAAAAGATAATCCACAGAGTATTTTAGACAGTTGTAAATATGGGATGAATACTTTAAATTTACGTCAGTGGTAACTCCTATAGCTTCACGGGATCTACTTCAGTTAAAGAATCTTTGTTGATTACCGAGGGGTGATGAGGATGAATATATATCTTAGAGGGAGTAAAACTGCATTCAGAGCACTTGGATAAATTAAGATGCAGTCCAGAACGAACGGAAAATTGAAGGATATGCGACAGACTGCTGGAGAAATTTAGAAGGTCCTCAGGCACATACATGGCTTGGCGAAGAGCTGCATCGTCAGCGTATTTAAATATTTGGGCTAGAGAACTCTTTGACATGTCATTGCTGTAGGTGGAGAACAAATAGCGGAGAAGGTGCAGCGCCCTGGAGCACTCCCGGATTGTTCACGAGCCATTTAGATGTTTTCGTACCCAGCCGAGAATGAACTGAATTCTGTTTGTGAAGTAGCCAAAGAGCCACGCCAGTAGATGATTGGAACAGCCAAATGACTCCATTTTGTGCATATCATTCATGTAAACCGGACATTGGTCACGTGAAATCCATAAGTCATGTCCCAGTGTAATTGAGTTTAGACTAAATATTTTATTTGAAATCACTTTTTAAGTGTGTATGTAGTTAAAATCCACCGAAATTAATTCTGAAACAATCTTGCAGTAAGTCGCCTGCGTGAAAACTAGCAAAATATGAAGGTGTTTTCCTGGAGAATTTCAATTGCAATTAATTGACAGATACGGTCAAACCTCTCACATAACGCGCTAATGAATATTCTCAATGATATGCCATGAATCCTCCTAATGTAGCCAACTGATGAAGGTTAGAATCCCTCAAGCAAAGAACTTTGACATGTACGTGACAATCAGAAAACCACTAGGCATAGGCAGTCTTCGTTGAATGCGGATTTGGTGCCCATGTTTGAGTTTGGGAATGTTCATATGGCAAGAATAGGAGCAAAATTTAGCGAGATGATTACAAATTGATTACGGACGTAAAGAACGTGTCTTCATGCATCTTGAGTCATCCAGTGAAGGGTGGATCAGTCATTGTAACACACTATCTATCTCTATATCTCTATAATAGACTTAGAAGAAGCTTCATCCAGTGCTGAATTCGAGATCAAGGTGTGGTTCAATATCTTCTTACATATCAGTCTGAAGTTAACGGAAACAAGGCAGCAAAACTGTCTGTAAGAACTGTTTGTTATGTTGGAAACTGAGAAACAATCAAAAGCAGTTGCACAACAGCAGTGGAATCTCACCTATCTGTGGCGTTATGTTCTATTGGTTCCAGTCAGCAAATTAGGCGAGCCGAATGACCTCCAGAAAGCTCAATCACGAGGCAGCCAATCTGCACTTAACTGATTTCATACAAGGGAAACGGTAAATGAAACGTTACAGGGATTATCCGAGTAGTTGCAGTGACACGATGAGAGGAGAGCAGCCGCAGATGAGACGAGAGCACGAAATTGGAATTGACACAGTGAGGAAAGGTTAGTTATTTTAGAGCGACATCGCCGTGCACAAAATAAAACCTATCGAAAATAAAAAAATATTGAGTCTAACCACAAATTTTACAAGGAGCCCCGTCTGAAATAATGTCATTATTAGACCACTGCACGACGAGGGTGATATCAGCAAACTTTAACTTTGACATTGTAGTGTCGACCTAAATTAGACAAACTGGAACACCCACTCTAAGGCTTCTGTTCCCCTTTCCGAGCGGTTTTGGGAGTTCTGAAGTAGGTGATCCGAAATCAGGCGGTGTTCATTTCGTCATTCCATGGTGGATACCGATGCACTCACTATACAGATACCATAAATATCCATTCGCAAATAATCCGTGCGGTCAATTGTGTCGAAGGACTTTACACGGCATTCGATTTGAAAATTTCATAGAAAGAACGCAACATCAATAACACCATCGGTTCTTTTCCAAATCGACACCTAATTTTGGTTACATCGAAAGAACCCAAGTTTTGGAAGCCGGTTATAGTACTAACGTTAACTTTGCTATAATTACAACTGTTCTGCAACTTAGTGAATGGAACCCGAGTCGTCGCAAAATATCTTATAAGATATGCAAGAATGATTGTTCAGTTTATTTATTATTTCAGCTAATCCAACTTATTCCATTGTTGTATTGATGATAATGATGTGATAATTTATTTCCACAACGATGCGGTTTCAGCAGTTAACTACCACCACCACCATAACCACCACCATCACCACCACCATCGCCGACACCACCACCACCAAAACCATAACCAACATCACCAACATAACCACCACTACCACCATAACCATCACCACAACCATAACCACCACTACCACCATAACCACCATCACTACCACCACCATCACTACCACCACCATCACCAACACCACCAAAACCATCACCACCACCAACACCACCACTGTCCGGAAGGCGTGCTATCTGGAAACGAAATTTCTGGGTCATAATGGCTTGAAAATAGAGATATTTTGTAAATAACGTAAACGATGGTTTATGCTACTGACCGGTTATTCAAAGGTACTTAAATAAACAAGAGAAGGTCCTCTAGATGCATTCAAATAACTCTGTTATCACTATACAAGATGATACATGTGATACATATGGTGTAGAGTGTAGACATTATGTTAATATTCGGATGGTAAATTTTTTGCCCATAGCTAATTCTTGAAATTCTCTTGCTTTCTATTTAAGGTACCATATTTGACTTCCTACGATCCATCCTCATTCACAAGGTCTACAGAATCGCAGGCAACCTTGCATGAAGAGGACTTTAACCGTAGTCAGAAAGTGACCCCAAGTATCAGTGATTTAAAACCGTGTACCGGTGAGTAGTTGGTGAACTTTTCCTCTCAAAAACACCTTTCTTTTCCAATTTTCCTATCGTCTTTAGTGTTAACAGTTGTTGGGGTTTTTCCAAAATAACGTTCCTTTGTAGAAAAAGCATTTCAAATGTACATATGCATGGAATGAAACTTTTACACAGAATAACATTACTCAGGCAATGTTCTCACGGTCGCTGTGAATCCCAGCTGTAAAACTCTCAACCGATTTGACGAACACAATTGGTGCAAGTTAATTAATTCCTTGCAAAGACTTTTACTACTTCTATAGGAGGTTTATTTTATATGCTTACTACCTTCAGCATATGATTAGAAGTTTGTGGTCACGTTTATTATTTTTTTCATAGTTACTGCTTTTAAGTGAATATACAAAGATACAATGTTCCAAAAGAGGGAAGTGGCCAATCAAATGGCTGCCTTGTAACATGAGATGGAGGGTTGGGTGCCGGTGGTGGGATTCGAACACACACAGGTTAACACCGGGCTACCACCGCTCAAAGTGGATCACCAAACACAAGTGCTAGTGTGGCATTCAGTTAAAATATGCATATGATGAATTTTATTTTTGTTTGAGACATTCACGCCTCCGCCTTACTAGATTCGTTTGTTCATTCTCAAGAATTTGAGAACGGAATGTAAGCAATCAAACTGGATTAACGTCTCGGTTCGGTTCTGCTGTGTAGGAAAAATCCGGGGTTCAAGATTGAGGGTTAATTTAGAAGAATTCCTCATTGAGCGTTCATGTTTTATTCTATACCTACCTATCCAACTTGAGATGTTCAGAAATCATAGGGTCATATGTGTGAAAATGGGAAAAGTTGATTAACCTCGGTGATATTGGAACCCACCCTTGGGTGCAGCCTACGCTATTGTGCAGCGTATGCTCTACCGCGGAGCTACGAGGCCCGGGTTCGAAACCCACCGAGGCTACTGAAAGTTTCACAATTTCATCGTAAGACTTCAATCTACCAAACAACAACTAAAAGAATTAAACACCTTGTAAATTTATTCAGTGAACTTCGGTGAATTCTAGGGAAAACCTGCTATGGCGATTAGCATACATGATACCTAGTAGATACCGAATCTCTCTGAAAGGTCAATGGTTGATTTGAATGTAAAAAGATTAATGCAATCGATGAGTTTTCGTAGCTCAACTGCTGGTAGAGCGTGTACTGTACAAAAGAGTAGGTGACTTCCATATGTAGGTTTGAATCCCACTGGGACTACGTAACTTTTCACTATTTCAACATATGACTTCGAACGACTAAAAACAATTTGCAGAACTCTGACGTCAACCAACCGTAAAGTTGGTAGTCTGTTCGCATAGTGAACCCGTGCCAAATTATTCGTTTCTCAGATCTTTTAGGGCCACAAAGCTCCTCGAGATTGTGTATTGCAAAAAACGAGACTGCGCGCTCTCAAGAGAGAGAGAGAGGTAATTTGAAAACCGAATCGGGTTCCTTACAGACACGATAACATGTCTCATAAGACAGTCTAGTTTGAAACATAGAATGTAGAAATCAAGTGGGGAACAGAAAAAAGCTTTTCAGGAGAAAGATAGTCAGCGCGCATAACGGAGGTTTACCCAATACGTGATAAATACAAGTTTGCTCCTATCCGACAAAAGCTGAACATTTTCATTCGATTCTGCTGATCGTCACATGTCGAGTGCTACAGTTAAATGTAATTTGTGCCATGATTTGGGCAGAATGGATCTGCTGTACGCATGTTTTCATCGTGTTTAGTGGTTGCAACGCCTGTAAAATCGAAATTAAAGTTGTTGTGTGGGCTGTTTTTCAGACTCTACCGGAACAGAAAATACCAGGTGTGTGCGAACGACGAGGGAAGAATTACGGTAAGTAACTCAGACATCAATCGTTATTCAATCCTTCCAATGTGTTTTGGTTCGACGGGTTACTTTTTTAAAACGGAGATTATATTTCCCAATTCAAAAAAGATGTTGAATAGCAGATGAAGAATTTCTGTGAACGGAGTCAAGTAATCATACGGAACATTTGAAAATGCATTGGCCTAGCATTTTTGCAGAGCTATTGTCTATTAACATGATTTATTTAAAAAAAAAACTAAAATTGTTGATGCATCACCGCTTGTAAAGCAGGAGTTGGAACAGCGGGATGATAAGATCAGCATTTTCATGAAATGCATGTTTTGTTCATTCTCTTTTTGATACAATGTTCAGCATTTGATAGTTGTCCATTATATTGCAAGATATTGCGTCGGATTAGCGCAACAAGAGGTATTAAAAACTATTGCATATTTATTGTATATTATTCGGTGCGTATAGCACATCGTATTCATCGGATGTAGAACCAGACACATGCGGGTATCGATCCAACGTGTCGATCACGCGTGCTGACCACAATGACAAGCAGCCTCTTGTCAACAGGATGTAATAGATTAATGCTCTCCGCGATAAACGTTTTGTGCTTCCCTATATCTTCACTGTTTCTTGTATGTTAAATTTAACAGTAAACATTTTTGGTTAACCATACAGTAAAAAGCAGAAATCCAAATGTTCTGCTAAACATCACCTCATCATCTACTATTGCAAAGAAAAATTAAATGTAATTGTATAACAAAGCAAGCAACGCAAATTTTGCCTTCAGGCTTTTACTAGACTACTGCACAAACAAATAGAACGTTTACTGGTTCGAAAGTAAGGATATCATGAAATCTATGTCTTTTGGAAATAGGTTCTTCTTAATTTCAGTTAGCACATGTATAAATAATAAGCATTTCATCATTGTAACGATAGACGGATAAGTGATGCATGAAGCGACGCTGGGATAAGACAGATAATTGATAATAGGTTACGATGATCCGAACAGACATCTAGTTAAAATGATGACCTGTTTTACCTCGAGTTGGATTGATTGTTACATGAAGGTAATGGAGGATTTGATTTAATTTCAAAGGGGAAATCTGTCGTGTATATAGCAAATGGAGCGTGAACTGAAAAGCTAGGAGGCACTGCACACCTGATTAGGTCCCATCAGCAAAGCAGCTGTCCGGTACTTCCCATCTTTTCTGTTCACGCTTCATTTGCCATATACAGGACGAATCTCCCCTTTGAATTTACTATGTCCAAATGGTGTTAGAGTGTTGAACGACACTTGATTTATGTATCGCGAACTCAGAATGGTTCATTCTTATCGTGAGACGAACATCTTTAACTGAGATCAGCCCTTATCACCAAAAATATTCTGTGGTGTAAAAACCTGCGGGAAAAATTTTCATAAATCGAGTGCTATGGACTGCAAGTAATCACAATTGAGTATCATACATGAGAGTAATAGGACACTTTTGAAAGGCTGGTTTCTTCTCGCGCAACTTCCGAAAGATATTTACAATTATAGGCTGACTAGTGTCTGGGCTTACCCGTGTCAAAGTCGAGTTCGATTCTGACCTGGCCGTTTACAGTTCCAAGGAATTTGAAACTTTCTACATTTTTGCACTAATTTGTATCAATGGTACTGAATTACCGTTTTGGACGTATCCCTATCCAAGCCTGTTTCTTTGATTAGTTGTTCAATCCTGTCCGATTGTTCCATTCATGTTGTCACTATACGATCCGCAAACCCAAGTTTGGCAATCGGAATTGAATAAACCTTCAGCTTGTTGGTTGAGAACCCGTTTTGTTAGTCAGTCGATGAGAGAGTTCAGTAAGCATTAACTCGTCCTTCAGGTCTTGGGTAGTATGACCTAGAAGATTTCAGTTACACTACCTTCATTGTTTAGAATGTCTTTATGTACTAACAGATATCTATGTCTGTGTTACAAAATACTCCCAAACGTGAAGATTTATTCCAGACAACCACAGCCACAACCACACTAATCTTGTTTTCCTATGGTGCGATCATCCATGGAAAAAGCGATTTGATAGAGTCATTGCAGTGTGGTGTTTAAACAGCAGTCCAAAATTAGCCATCCAATTCAACTGAACAACCGTAATCAGATTGTTTAGTGAGCTCATTGACGAAGAAATTTGTATTTTCACCAAGATGTGCTGCATTGGGTGGTTCCATGTGTCTAACATACACCCTGTTGCTGAACGGATTGACGCATAAACAATACTATCCAATGAAAATTATAATTGCACTTATGGAAAAAATCATTCTCCATCCAATCAAAGCATTCAGGGACCATTCAGTTAGTCCATTCGGGTAAAAAGCAGGCTTCATCCGTTTTCTGTATCTGGGTTCGCTTCAATCCCGAGCGAGGTAGTAATGCCCCAGACAAGAGAAGTCACGCGTCTCATCAAGCTGAGGCATTCTTAAGGAGTGTCTTTGTTAGAAGTTCCATGAAGCGGCTTGGGAATAGTCAAATCAAGTCAAGTATTTACTTTATGCACCCCGAAAGGTGGATATTCAGCGGTTACATAGTCATCTAACAACTATCGAACAAAATTATTACATAATTATCGTGAGCAGTGAAAATGAATACAATTTACGATATAATTGAATAAAGGTCCGAAGCAATGCTTTCTGCACTGACAAGAAATCGGGCAAGATAGGGCACCACAGAAGACCGATAAGCGGTCGTACGAGCAAATATACACTTATAACGGGACCGGGTGGAAGAGGA